GGGCTCCTCAGACCTCTCCCCTTAGCCTAGCATAATGGCCTACGCTTCATTCAGCTAAGTCCAGGCACTCTGGGCTCTCCCTGATCTGACTGACCCCAACTTCTAGGGGGCCAAGACCAAAAGTCTGTGTTCATTTCCTGTGGCTGTCGTAACAAATTACCACAAACTAGCGGCTTACAACAGAAATGTATTCTCTCTCAGTTCAGGAGTTCAGAAGTCCAAAATCAAGGTGTCAGCAGGATTCATTTCTTTTGGAGGCTCTGCAGAGAGCCCATCGCATGCCGCTGTCCACTCCTGCCAGCCATCCTTGTTCTAGATGTTTCATCCAGTGTCTGTGTCCGCCTCCCCCTGGGTGTCTGTACCTCCCCTCTCTGTCTTATAAGGACACTAGTCATTGGGTTAGGGACTACCTTAATCCCTATGACCTCATCTTAACTTGATTGTATCTGTAACATTCACATAATCTAGGGATTAGCACTTCACGTTATTTTTTGGGGGAACATAGTTAAACCAGTCACAGTCTGTCTTCTGCCCTCCAAATTCATATCCTTCCCACATGCAAAATGTACTCACCCCATCCTAACGTCTCCCAAAGCCTTAACCTGTTCAGCATCAACTCGAAGTCCTCTCAGTCAGGGATGGTTCATCTTGCGGCACAGTTGCTCCCTGTGCTAACCGTCTGCTCCCAGAGCAGGGATGGCACAGGCCAAGGAGCGACGCTCCCATTCCCAAAGGGAGAAAAATGGAAGGAGTCCAGGGCTTGCAGGTCCCAGCAGGTGCTCCCAGTGGAGGAGTGTGCACTGGCTCTCAGGGCAAGAGAGCCAGCTCCATGACCCCGTTCTCTGCCTTCTGGAGCCCAGGACACGGTGGGCCGGCTGGCCCGTCACTGGAGCGACCGCTCAGTGCTCTCTCCAGAGCACCTCCTCATCTTTTGCAGCAACGACAAGCTGACAATTCTCTAAATCTTCAACTCCTGGTTCCTTTTTTCTTACTAGTTCTTTCCTCCATTTTTCTCTCTTCCTCTGTCACATTTTACTATCAGCAGCAAGGAGAAGCCAGGCTGCACCGTCAGCATTGCTTAAAAATCTCCTTAGCCACATGTCCATCCATGTTCCCTGCTTACTACTTCTGCCCTGCACCCACAGGAGCATGCAGCTCAGCCAGGTTTTCTGCTGCTCGCCAACAGGGGCAGCCGTTCCTCAGCTCCTTGCCTCCTACCCCCACTGAGGAGCGCCTCTACCTGACGGTCACACCTCCCGTGTCCTCTCTCTTGTGGCACTGATGTCTTTCCTAAGACAGCAGAAGCTCTCTCTACACCTCACCAGAATCACATGGAATGATGGTATTCCTATCAACAGTCGAGGTGCCTGGCCTTTTCCTATCATGCTCCTCAAAGCTCTCCGTCTCTGGCCGTTCCCAACTCCATGGCCACTTCCACATTTTCAGGTATTTATTACAGCAGCACCTCTATCCTGGTACCAAACCTGTCTTTGTTTCTTGGACCACCATAGCAAATTGCCACAGAACACTGGCTTACAAGACAGAAGTTCATTCTCTTGGATTTCCTAGTCTGTGGTGACAGTGTCGGCAGGACTGTGCTCAGCCTCCGGCGGTGGCCACCCTCGGTGTGCCTTGTCCTGTGGCTGCACTGCTCTGGTCTCTGCCTTGGTGGTCACCTTCTCTCTGTGTGACACTATGGCTCTGATAGGGCTGGGTCCTGGGCTGGGGCCGCCTGCCCTCCAGGGAAAGCACCGGTCCACTGTGGGGGCTCCTGCACGGGTGGCGTCCTCCCTGCACTGCAGGGATGGGGCTCTGTGACATGGGTCTTGGCTCCTGCGGCGCAGGCTCCCGCCTGACCAGCATGGGCCTTCCCTGGTGTGTCGTTCATGGGCAGCTTCCGGCAGCCTCAGTGAAGTGCTTGGCACCATTGGTGCTCAGCAGTGAAGGAATGGGGGATGCCCCTCTGGTGGTCACGCGCCGAGCTCATGGCCCAGAGGGATGGTGCCAGCGAAGAGTCCTTGAGCCCGGCAGCTGCCACATGTTGTCCAGGTCCATTTCTGCGAGCTCCCCAAAAAGGCAGATCCATGGAGACAGAAAGCAGACCCGTGGTTGCTAATTGGTGTGTGGTTTCTTTTTAGGAGATGAGAATGTTCTGGAACTAGAAAACGAGCACAGCTCTGAAGACACCAAACCGCTCTGTATACACTTGGAGTGGGTGAGCGACTGGTGTGTGAATGATACCAGTAAAGAGCACAGGTGGCCCCTGTGCAGGGAGGCTGTGTGCTGGTCCAGCTCAACACAGGTCCCGGGGGCAGCCTGGGTGCTCAGACTGGCCCTGCTCAGATCTCCCTCTATCCTCTTCCCACCCGCCCACAAATCAAGCCCATTTACAGGGATAGGAGTGGAATTTGCTCTTGGCCAACCCTCCCCCTCACTCTCACCTCCTGTGTCCTCCCTCACGGAGTGGGCAGGTGCTCCCAGCAGGTGTGTCTGACCAGGGTAGGTTGAACCTCAGGTGAGCAGCACCCAATCTGCCTTACCAAAGTGGATATGATGAGCCCAGGGCCATGGTTCTGATATATCAGTTGTTAGTAGTGAGGGCTCTCCAGAGAAGCAGACCAATAGTGTGTGTGTGTGTGTGTGTGTGTGTGTGTGTGTGTGTG